TCGGCTGCTGACGGCAGGATGATGTTCGGACTCTGGTTCTGCTTGAAAATAAAACAGCAAAAGATGTTATTTTTAGCTTTTTACCTACTAAAACCGAAGCTCTGAGCATCTACCTCTGAATTGAGTTTCCTCTTCTTGTAAGGGCGTCGCTTGCTGTAAAGTGGACAGTTGATCTGGCGGACTGCCTTCTGCACCATCTTTGCCTGCGACTTGAGCGCCAGCTCGGTGAGCACCTTGCGCACCAGCAGACGGCACTGGTGGAAGAGCGGCTGCGGCTTGGTGGCGATGGCGAGAATGCGCTCGCGCAGCGCCTCACTCAGCAGCGTGCACCGCTTGATGCCGGCAATGTTGAAGGACTCAGTGGCCTCGAGAACCAGGTCGATCACCTCGGCGTCTTTCTCCACCTCCAGGCGGTTCAGCACCTTGAGGATGCCGATCTGGTTGTGCACTTGCGCCTAGATCAGTTGAGAGGGTTTTAATAAAGCAGAGTTTTGTAATACTTGTTGAAAAGCACTTTCAATATTGACATACTTTAATGACAATTTGTGCACCGTACTTCAGCAGCTTTCTCACAATGTCCGCTCTGGGCTGTTCAGTGGCGTTGAAGTACTCGCCAATGGGCGGCTTCAGCAGTGGACCGCGGTTGTCGGTGGTGATGGCGTTCGGGTCGGCGCCGGCGTCCAGCAACAGGTCGACCAGTTCGGCTTTGTTAGGAGTCTGCAGTGGTGAAAATGAGGAAAAAGGAGAACATTTATTAAACATTGATAGGGCAAAACTAGTAGTAGTAGTGCTCACCTTTTCCGAGAGAACAATGTGCAGTGGTCGACCGATGATGGGCGATCCGACGTTGACGTCTGCGCCGGCGTTGATCAGCAGTTTGACCATCTCCACGTTGCCGCTGAGCAGTGCAAAGTCAAGCGGCGTGGGCTTTTGTATGGCCGGCGTGGGGAAGATGTAGCGAGCATTGGCGCCGTGGTGCAGCAGCAGGCGGACAATGTCAATGTTGTTGCTGAGGACGGCGTAGTGGAGGACGCTGCGGTAGTCGTGACGTTCTGATGCAACAAAAGGGTTAACTACGTGCTCTTAATTGATAAAAAAATTACCCGAGGTAATGGCATTGACATCAGCCCCGTAATGAATAAGTATCTTGGCGGCGGCGTAGCCCTGCGGATGGCGGCAGGCCTTCATCAGCGGCGTCAGCCCGGACCGGTCTCGGGCGTCCGGAAAGGCGCCAAACTTGAGCAGCATCTCCAGACAGAGGACATTCAGCGGCGAGATGAGGTTAATTTCAGAGCCGAGAAAGTAGCGGGCATTTGGGTCGGCGCCGTGCTTCAGCNCGCCAAACTTGAGCAGCATCTCCAGACAGAGGACATTCAGCGGCGAGATGAGGTTAATTTCGGAGCCGAGAAAGTAGCGGGCATTTGGGTCGGCGCCGTGCTTCAGCAAAATCTCCGCGCACTCCAGATGGCCATTTTTGATGGCCAGCCGGAGGGGCTCATCGACGATGGTGTTCCGCGGCGGGTTGCCTAGCTGCTGGGAAAGCAGCAAAATGAACAATATCAATTTGATAAGACTGGTTAGTAAGTTGATGTGGTTTAAAACTACATCACTCCCATACCCAAACCCGTTCATCCGGTTTCAACTGTGTGAACTTCACCTGGGCGCTGTGCTCAATGAGCGTCACCATCAGCTCTGCGTAGCCGCGCTCGGCGCACAAATGCAGCGCAGTGTAGCCCACGTCGTCCATGGCATTGACGTCGCAGCCGCGCACCAGCAGCAGCCCTACCGCCTTCTCGTACTTCTGGTAGGTGGCGTAGTGCAGGGGGCGGAGGCCCTGCGTCACCGGCTCGTTGACCTTGGCGCCGCAGGCGAGCAGAATGCGCAGCTCATCCAGGGGCGCCCGGCGGATGATCGAGTCGGCCAGCTCGCGCTGCAGGGCGCGAACAGAGGCTGATTCAGCGGCAGTCGAACTGCTGCTGTTGCTGGTGTGGCCGTTGCTGTTGTTGTTGCCCAGCACCGGACTAGGAGGGTCGTTGGAGGGCATTGTCTTCTTTTGTATGATAGCTTTTATTTATTTAAAAAACAATTGTCTACAAAGGAAAAAGTAAACACAGTTTGTGTTGAGTGAAAAGGAACAGCAAAAAAATGGTTTGCATTCAAAAGTAATTCCGCTTGTGACTAATTTTGCTTTGCTGTGTAGAGTGTGTCATATGACACATCAGCAGTGAACTTTAACTGCTACTACTTTTAGAACTAACTTTTAACCAAAAACTGGCTGTTTNTTTCTGTGTAGAGTGTGTCATGTGACACATCAGCAGTGAACTTTAACTGCTACTACTTTTAGAACTAACTTTTAACCAAAAACTGGCTGTTTTTGCTCTAAACTACAGACAGTCAGTTTTTTCCTGGTAAGAGTTATTGCGTACTCATTACCCATTATTCAGTGCTATTACTTTCTCGTGTTTGCCAGTGCTGCCACTGCCACTGCCACTGTTTCTGTCACCAATTTTGCAATCAACCACTTTACAGAACGCGTTCGAGCGCTCGTGCACATCTTGGTAATAAAGAAAGTGACACTTTAATGGCGCAGCAAACTTTTTCCCTTTCTCCAAACAGCTGGGGTACTGCAGAGCAACTAAAAATAGGTACCACAACAACAGAAACAACAGCAAAAGCAAGAGCAGCAGCAGCACAGTCAGTGTCAAAACCAGAACCAGAGTCATTGCCAGACAGAAAACAGAAAAAGGCAGGCAGGCAGACAGACACTGGCTTTGGCAGAGCACTTGTGGTGCTTGGGTTGAACTTTAGTTGCATCAGACAATATCAGTCAGTGGTAGAAAGAAAAAGAGAGTACGCAGTGTGTACGGTAACTACTGCTGCCACTGACTGATGCACACAGACCCAAACAGCGAAAAACAGACTGAATTCACTGATTCAGTGAAAACACTGAGATGCAAAAGCAACAGACTAACACTACTGTTACCAAGTGACTCAAACACAAAAGAAGCCACCAACTGGTTGCAAACAAAACAGCACGAGGGTGCTGCGTAAATCAAGCTCTAAAGGGGAAAAAGAAAGAAAACAAACGAGCGCACAACGCATTTTGGTTTGCATATATACACACTGTTAACAATTTGTACTGCCATTTTTTTTATGTTTTTCGATCACCTTTTCTGTCTTTTGATTTTTTTGCTTTTTTCTAGGCACCACAGCAACAGCAGCAAAGACGAGTCATTCATCACAGTGTGGTGGGCGAAAAAAAGAGGGAACAAAATCAAGGAAGGATGAGAATCAAAGACAAAAAATGCTAATTATAGAACCCAAAGTAAAGTACAAGTCCCTCGTTTAAACATTAACTGACACTGACTGGATAATTTAGTTGTGGGCGCCTTTAGCAGAAAGGCGCAAAAAATGAAGGAACTGATTCTTTTGAGCCTCAGTTCAGCGGTTCTCTCTATTCACTCACAAAATGTTTTCCTCCCTTTTTTTGCTCTCTTTGAAAACGACAACAAACTGACTGACTGACTGGTGGGAGTAATAACTGACACTGACTGACAATAAAGTTGGTGGTGGTGGTGGTTTTGCTGCCTGTTGATGCTTCCCATGTCATATGACTGAACTGCTATATAGCAGTTCACTCTGTCAGTTTCATGCTTTTACTTTTTTCGAAGTTTGTGTGTGTGTATACGTTTGTAAAACATCAACAACAGTCAACGTAAGTTAAGTCTCTCACACACGCACACACACTGCGTAGTCATTCACTGGGAATTTCATTCTGTGCATCTTTTTCAAATCCTTTTTGATTAAGTAATCAAGAAGGAAGCTTTTGAGTTGGCAAAATAATTAACTTTATGTCTAGCCAGCATCATAACTTTTATTCTTTCCTATTTCATAACACTAAAACTATCACGCAACGTGCTCTCTCTCTCTCTCTCTCTCTCTCTCTCTCTCTCTCTCTCTCTCTCTCTCTCTNTCTCTCTCTCTCTCTCTCTCTCTCTCTCTCTCTCTTTCTCAGATGACAGTCTAGACAGCGTCACCATCAACAAGTTGAACTTGGCCTGATCTTTTGTTTTGAAACACTGGCAACCTTTATTGAAATAGATTTTATAAGCCTACCCATTTCGCACGTATGAGTATAAGTGTAAGTCACCGATGACGGTAGCCAAAAAGGGGAAATTAGGGGAAATGCAACTGCAATCAAGTCACAAGTGTGCCAAGAAACTGAAAATGAAAACTTGGAAAGTGTGGGAAAAAACTAGCAAACGCTGCCAACTGTTGGATTTAGAAGATTTGCGTAACTTTATTAAACATATTTTGGAAAGTTTGATACACCAGAAGGTAAAAAATTAAAAAAACAAAATTTTTAAAAAATGAAAACTATTATTTAAAAAAAATCGACTGTTAATTTTGAAACTCATATTTACAAATATGAGTTTTACTTGTTGATAAGTTGATTAACAAACTCAAAACAAAAATAAATTTAAGTTACAAAAATGACTTACCTAGTTAAAGACAAAACAATTTTCAAATACAATTTTAATGTGAAACCTTCTCAACTTTAGAGCAAAAGTCAAACACTAATCAGTGTTGTTTGAGTGAAGTTTGTTGGCAAGTTGCAGTGAATAGTTTAAAAAATCAATTCAATTTTTTAATTGTTTTAAAGATTTGCAGTGGTAAATTATAACCAAAAAAGTAGCGCAAATAGTGGTTTATATAAACTGGCGACTTGTCGAGTAAAGTGTCCTTCTTAAATACAAACAGACGGTTTTTTTCAGCAAGCTCTTTCTCTCTCACGCTCACTTTTTTCTAAAGTTGCCTTATGACGCCGATTTGATTGGCTTTACAACTTTTGCAAGCACCAGTTTTCTGTGTGGCGTCGTTGGCGCCTTGGCGCCATCTTTTTGTAACATTCACTTACTTACTCACCAGCAGAATTTTGGCTAGTGGCAGCAGTACTGGTGATTCAGTGGAGCTGGTAGCGGTACTATGACCGAACCACACACAGCACCCAAAAGCTGACGACCGAAAAGCGGTGCGTCGACCGAGAGAAAGAAGAAGAAAGAAAGAGAGAGAGAGAGAGTAAGTTTGGTGTAAGTTTCACACTGAATCAAGTAAATGGAAAAAAAGAATAAAAACACGTGAATCAAGGAAATAAAAGAGAAATTGAGAAAAGAATCGAATTGAAAACGCAGCACTAAACAGTGACTGCAAATCACAACAGATGCGCATTTTCATCCTTGTAACAGTGACAACATCATAACATAATAAGCTGATTTTCTGGAAAAAAATGGAAATTACAAAAAGAGATATTTGCTAACACTAGTTTTTAAAATACAGAATTTCTAGAAAATTGAGTTTAAAAGGTAACAGGAAAATTTATAGTAGCCTATGTTCTATGTTTCTAATTCTTAAAGAATTGTCAAAAAGAATGTTAGTAGTTTTTGTTGCTGTTGCACTTTGACTGCGCATCATCACTCGCATCATCACATGGCTCTCAGTTGACGGTGTAGTGAACTGAAGTCCATTGGGGTGGTGTGTGTGTGTGAGTGACTGAAAAGATGCAAAGAGGAATACACTTGACTCCCTCCTTACGTTAGCCAAATGAACTTTTTTGTCTGCTGACGAGTGCAATGTCACGAGACACACACACAGACAGACAGACCGAGGCTGCTAAACCGATGGCGGTGACTGTCTCACAGTGCCACTGTCTGTGACTCACTACTGTGCGCACTAAATGCACTGGAATGAAGCCCTCAGCTTAAAGACACGTCATCACTTGCTTTGTGGGGTGCTTGTAGCCACAATCGCCCTCATCATTGCCTCTTTTTGTCTGTTCACCTTTTAACTAGCTGAGCTTGCAGCACACACACAGATTGAAAAAAAGTAAAAAGTGCGCACACAACAAGAAAGTAAACATAAACACGAGACTGGCTAAAAAAGTGCGCCAAGAAAAATTGGATGAATGCGTAAATGAATTATGTTTACCGTTCATTGCCAGTAGTTTTTGAATAACTCGAGATGATCATTTTTGTTTTTTTATTTTTTTATGCACTAATTAAAAAAACAATGTTGAGCATAATCAATAAAAAAATTTGTTTTAAAAACTCTAGTTAAAAATAAAAACTAATTAGATATAACCAAACCAAATTTGTTAAAAATTTTAATTTACAATGTATACAAAAAACTTGTAATTATTTAAAAATATTGTTTAACTGGTTAATAATAAAAAATATTAATAATAATTGCTCAAAAACTAAAAAATTAGTTGTTTGTGGTTTGTTTACATATTGTTTTAAATTTTTAACATGCAAAACACGTGAATTAAAATAACAAAATGTTTTACTTGATTAATTGTATTGTAGACTTTTTAAAAAATTTAAATTAATAATTTATTATAAGCAAAACGATAAAATTTGGTGCAAATATTTAGTAAACATTTTTTGTTAATTGTTTTTTATACCATTTTCAATATTGAATTTTTATAATTTTAATAACAAAATTGATTAAAAAATATTGTGTTTATTTATTTTTATTATTTAAAACAAAATTTAAAATAAAAATAATTTTTATTTCTTTTAATTCTAAAACCACTTTCAATAATTTCACTTTAACTTTTTTTATTTTTGTTTTTTTTGCTTTTACACAACTTTTCGCTTTTCAAATTTAGTCCAATTTAAGTTTGCGTTCACATCTAAGTTTCTGCATCCTCTTTAAACTCAACTTTACACATCTTTTCCATCGTTTTTTTTCATTTCATTTTTTTTCTCATCTTTCCTCTTAATTTTGTGCTTCACATTTTGCTTTTCAATGGTTTCCCCATCTTTTTCATTTTATTTTTTGTAGTATTCCTTTTTACATCTCAGTTCTTGTTCCTCTCTAGTTCACTTTCCATTTTTCTCTTCTTTTTTTCTCCAATTTCCTTTTTTCTTTTATTCTCTATTTTTCAAAATTGTACCCCTCTCTCTTTTAACTATCTACTACTACAACACCAGACCGCTTTCCCTTTCTTTCCTTCTTTAGCAGCACGCACACTTTTCCTCCCTC